ATTCCAAACTTGATCCTCTTTCAGCCGCCCGAGGGCCTGCTATATCGAAGAAGGGTCCTTTGCTGTCTTATATGGTTTCCTTTTATTTGTGGTGTGTAGTCACACCTGATATTATTGTTGTTTGCTTCCTTGCTGTGCTGCGTTGTTTGCGGTTTTGGGTTCTGGTGTGATACAGATCTCTTTGCGATGATATTGAAGGGTACTAGCTGACTGTTGCTGGTGCTTGGTTTGCCTCGTGCTGGTCGCTGTGCTGGTGCCCTGTTGATGCTTGGTTGCCGATCTAAAAGCCGCGGAAGTAAAAAAAACCCACCCGTCATCTACCCTCTCCGAAGAGACGAATGTTAAATAACCTTGACATTCGTGTCCACCCAAAGTAAACTGGACTGTAAGCAGTCTTGGTTAACAGCTTCTGTCATCAACGAATAGTTTATGATCGAGTGAAGCGTCGTAGATGATGATAAATAGGACTTAACTGAAATCGGATGTCGTTGGGCGAAAGACGAAGATATCGCAGCCTAGCTGTAAACCACAACACAACGTGTCAACAGCCCTCTCAAGGCGAACAAATGTTACATGTGACATGACCAGTGAGCATCATGTCACCGCTATCGTTGGCTAGCTGTAAACACCAAAATTGAACCCCATCAAGGCGTAAATATCGCAGCCTAGCTATAAACCACAACAAAACGTGGCAGCCACCCAGTTAAGGGACCCTAAAAAAATATATCATTCAGCGAGGAATCGAACGCCGATGACCTGAGTGAAAGGCGGAATGCCTAAAATTACGCTACTATATACTTAATATTCGGCTCTCTCAGCTAACTGTGTTGGGCGTAACCCCCCCCCCCCCCCCCCTTTTTTTTTTTTTCTCTACTAATCATATATCCCTCTTCGTAGGATTGAAAAATCATCACTTGGCGAAATTAGTTAAGAAATGAGAACATTAAAATAATAGTTTGAGCTCTCTCAGCTAACGGTGTATGGCATAACCCCCCCCCCCCTCCTTCTCGCTCCCCCAATCATATCTCCTCTCTGAAAGATTGGCAAATAATCACCTGGCGAAGTCATATCTCCCACTCTGAAGGATTGAAAAATCATAACCTGGCGAAATTATTAAAACAGAAATAGTTAAGAAATTAGAACTAAAATAATATTTTAAACTTTCTCAGCTAACTGTGTCTGGCATAACAGCCAACTCCCCCCCCCCCCCCCCCCCCCCCCATATCATCTTCTCCGAAGGACGGGAAAGTCACCGTGTAACGAAATATTGTAACTAAATTGAGCTTTGCATCCGTGTCCACCCAGACTTACATAGTAAGCATTTACTTGTACAGAGAAGTAAATATAGCCAGTGTAACAGCTACCACATCACCCATCCAGTACCAGTACAACTGCAACCACTACCACCACCACCATCACAACAACAACAATAATAACAACAACAACAACTGTCACTACAGTCAGTGCAGGTTGGTGTAGAAAAGAGGAGTTAGCGCCGCATGCTGTTGCCACGGACTATTTAGTTTTGGCCCCGACATAGGAAAAAAAAACTTCATCACGTAACTAGTGATGGAACCCACAGTGAAAAGTACACTATACTCACGAATAGCGGAGAAAAATACCCCGCACTCTTCATCTCTCCCTCTCCAAGGGAACGATTTTTAACTGACCTTGGCATCCGTGTGCACCCAAACTAAACTGGACTGTAAGCCGTCTTAGTTAACATTTTCTGTCATCGCCGAATAGTTTTTGAACGAGAAGCGTCGCGGGGAGGCTAATTAGGACTTAACTGAAATCGGATGTCTATTGGCGAAAGGCGCAGATATCGCAGCCTAGCTGTAAACCACAAAACGACGTGGCAACGGCCCTCTCGAGGGCGAACGAAGATTACCCGTGACATGACTACTGGGCATCCCGTAGCCGGTGTCGCAGGCTAGCTGTAAACCAAAAACCGAAAAAGCCGTAGATATCGCAGCCTAGCCATAAATCACAACACAATGTGCCAGCCGCCTAGTTAGGGGTTAAAATAATTGTATCACCTCGCGGGGAATAGATAGATAGATAGATAGATAGATAGATAGATAGATAGATAGATAGATAGATAGATAGATAGATAGATAGATAGGTAGGTAGGTAGGTAGGTAGGTAGGTAGGTAGGTAGGTAGGTAGGTAGGTAGGTAGGTAGGGTAGATAGATAGATAGATAGATAGATAGATAGATAGATAGATAGATAGATAGATAGATAGATAGATAGATAGATAGATAGATAGATAGATAGATAGATAGATAGATAGATAGATAGATAGATAGATAGATAGATAGATAGATAGATAGATAGATAGATAGATAGATAGATAGATAGATAGATAGATAGATAGATAGATAGATAGATAGATAGATAGATAGATAGATAGATAGATAGATAGATAGATAGATAGATAGATAGATAGATAGATAGATAGATAGATAGATAGATAGATAGATAGATAGATAGATAGATGATATGTAATATATAGATTGACTATGCACTTTTGAAAACGATTTTTATTCATGGTTAGTAGGGCTGCTTAACCTTACTAAACATTTATGGGAGCCCCTCAGTCTCCTGTAAACGGGATGCCCAAGGTAACACGCTGTGTGGTGAAGTTAACATTTATGTTCTTGATTCAGATTTCAAGAAAGTGAACATTATATGATACATTGTCAGTTTTTTGTGTTAAATGCTAATAGACTTCACTGAAGAAGACAAAGAAGATAATATTTTTCCTGATGGGCAAGCAAAGATATGTTTTGAACTTTCTCCTTTCAGAGTGTCGTTTACTTTCTTAAAATTGCCTTAGATAGTTTGCTAGGTAAGAATAGGAGAACATTTGGACATGCGCGGTATTCACCATAAAGTCCAATTCTAACATCCGTTCGACACCATACGCATTCAATTTCCGGTACACGCTGTTGTGAAATTTGTATCGATATTAAGTACTTGAGTCATTTCTTGGATATCTGTCTATGATAAAACAAGTGTCTGCGGTTTTGAGTTGTTAGAATTTAGAGATAAAATACATTTAGCAGAAGGTAAGTGAATTTCTTTCAGTTACATATTTTAATGTGTGTCAAGATGTATACATATATATTTATTAGGCTTTAAAAAGGTTAAACAACGCCTGAAATCTCGCACTGAAATATAAATACAGTGTTACTGTTTAGACTACGCGAATTATAACACAACAGCGCGGCTCTATCACATACTGTCTAGCGTGTATTATTATTATTATTATTACCATAACCTACCATCGGAACTGCTAAAGCTAAAATATATTTTAAATTGTTACATATTACTATTTTTTTTCTCCTATTATTATTATTCAAAACAACATAATCAATTTTTTTTAATCACTGTTTACTCTCTTAGGGAAACTGGTGGTAATCGACTAGTCACAGTATTGGATTGTTTTGTTCTAGTGGCGTGGGACACTCATATTTATTTGTAAAATACCACATTATATTCAGACAATTATAATTAATGGTATAGAAGTTTAAAACTAGACGTACATTTCGAAAAGTCATTAGAGAATGGTGGAGTCGTAGTTGTATACATATTCTAGTTTCATAAGTTTCAATAAATCTCGAATCTAGAAAACATTATTTAATTGCTCGATCACGTTGTTGTTTAGCTGAATAGTTTTTTCAATAATACCGGCGTTTTGTACGATAAAATAAGGGTTGCTGATTTTTCTGTCAGAAAAGACAGTACATGTCATACGTTCAAGCGTTGAAGTGATTTACAGATTACCTCCCAAGTCGAAACAGCCTAAAATCATGATGATTAATACCAATATTATAGGAAGTAAACGCAACCAGTCATGCTGACGACGTCATCTATTATTGAATACTGATTGATATAAGCAATTATACTTATACTCATATATTGGTACTTAAGCATCTGCTCGATGAGCCACTGGGTCAGATATTGAATTGCATCTAAACTCACACACACAGGTTGAAACATTATTTTAACACTATATACCCCAATTAATTACAGCCCTCAGGGTTGAACAGGATAGAAAAAAAAATTACGTCTACTTCTATTATGTTAGCTGTTAGTGTTATCAGAACCGTCCACAGCAGATTCAAACCATAGAATCTTTCAACAAAATACGGTGTGTTGTTGAACTATTGGTGGTTACAATTTATATTCACTTTTTTCTAACCTTTTTTTTTTTTTTTTTTTTTTTTTTGGCTATCTTTTCTTTGTTTTGTAGATTGATTATTTAGTTATGACTTTCAGATTTAGACACTCTTTTTTTTTATTTGCATATTATTATTAATTATAAAATGTAAATATGCTCTTTGTCTTCATCTCGAAAACACTTCCCAATAAGTATAATGTTGTTGGGGTAAGGAGGCACTTTGCATCCACATCCAACAGAGCTGGCCCATTTGTGTGCGGCTGTTGGTTCACTGTCTCCTGTCTAGTGCACTCTGATTAGGACAAAAACCATAATTATTTTACTGTTACGACATGCTTGTTAGCGAAACTAACAAACTCGCATGTGTAAGCCCTAAATATAAAAATTATTTCTCTATGTATTTTTGATTAGGAATATGGTGGGGAGAATGCCACGCCTAAAAGGTACTTATCCGTCAGGATTTGGCCCTATGCAGAAAATTTTTCACTTTTTTGTGTGGACCCCACAGGCAGCCTTTCTCAGGTTCTGGAACAAGGCTAAAAGTCTAGAGACGGACATGCAACCAAACTTTTCCGCCAAAGTTTACAGTCAGTAAACACGAAGAAGAATCTAGATCTGTGGTTCTCAACCTTGCTAATTCCCATGATCCTTTAACATTTCCTCATATTGGGGTGACCCTCCACCATAATCCATTGTATTATAATTTGTGACACAACACCAGCAATTTTTTCTTCTCTCTTTATTGCCTGCAATATGCTGAGGTTTGTTTGTAGACATGTATGTCATTGACTCTCTTTTTGTTTCAGACACAGCATGGCATCTACATCTGATAAGCCATACGCCACAGAACAAATGGTTACTGTCTCAGACAGTACATCAACTTTTGGTGAGTCATTTTGGGCTAATGGAGTATTAACCTGGTTCGCATCTTCTGATGACAGACAAAAGAAAGAAGATGAAGAAGTAAGTGACACTACTTTACAAGTTGGCATCTATGCAAAGAAATTAAATAAGGTGTACCACAGTGATCGTATTTCTTAAATCTTGCTCTACCCTTCAGTGACAGTTCTCAGCAGGCATCTGGGTCAAGCCTTGGCGCCCTGTGTAGATAATATTAACAGCCTCAGATGTTCCACCAGCCAAACTGATTTAAATCTTTACCCTCTCCAGCTGTTTCCTCAAAGTTTTTTTTCTAATGCACCGTGTAAGCAGATCTTCATTTCTTTAAGGCTGCTCTCAATGCTGTCATTCCATGTTCTGAATTCCCCCTCCCCCGCACCCCTTGCTCTGTGGTACAAGGGTATTCTTGTCAGATAAATCTCTTTTGTTGCCTTTTAATGACCTGTATGGCTTGTTTCAGTAATATAGTGTATTATAATAGGTTTTCAGCAACGGAAGCCTCTGTTGCCAACGGGGCACAAACAGGCCCGATTGTGTTTCACCTGGCCCCATGGATTTATGGCATTTTAGACAGTAATTGTCCTGTGGGCGTACACATGGTGGCATACAACCGGACTGGTGAAGCGCTGCCACGCCAACACAGGATGCCGTTAAACATTTAATTAGGTATTTTCCCCGGGTAGGTGGGACTCGATAGCTGGGGACAGCGGCCCACCTATGAGAAGGATACTCTGAAACTAAACTACCACTGCCCGGTGGTCAGGCCTTGGTTGGTTACGGGCTAAGGAAGCACATCCTAAAAGAAAAGCACGTTGAAGACGGAGACGCCAGGTCGAAAGGCACAGATAGTGTGGGAGAATATTTTTCCACAAACATGACATCACGCATACCTTCTTGAATGTCAGAAAACCCTAGCAGGAATGAAGACTGTGGTGTTTAATCTTTAACACTTCAGTGAAACATATCACGGTGAGCCCTACCTTAAAAGTGGCAACTGTACAACGTCACCACTCGCAAATCTAGAAAAACAGCCTAGATAATATATCCATCAGAGGGACAATATGGACGAAGAAGACGTGTGCGCTCTGAGGATTCTACAGTGGAATGCAGAGAGAGTCCGCAACAAAAAAGCTGCACTCACGAAACAACTTACGGAAGGAAATATTGATATTGCCAGTATACAGGAGACACACCTGTCAGAAAAGCACAGATTCTGTATTAGAAGCTTCCAGTGCTTCAGACAGGACAGAGAAAATGGTCCCAAGGGAGGAGTCCTCATCCTAGTAAAAAACAGCATCCCAGCAGCTAGTCTTACAGTGGACACAAAACAGGAGTCTGAGATCATGGGTGTCAGGCTTAACATTGCAGGCAAGGAAATTGTGTTATACAATTGTTACTGCCCGCCAAGCAAAGAACTCTCATTATACAACATGAGAATCCCAGATGACAACTGTATCGTTCTAGGAGATTTTAACAGCTGCTCTCCAAGCTGGGGATATTCCCAGCTCAACGACAGAGGAGAAGAAGTGGAGGACTGGCAGACATATGCCAGACTCCAGCTAATCAACAAACCAGATGACTCCCTATCTTTTTTTCTCCAGGAGATGGCTTTCAACCAGCCGCCCAGACTTAACATTTGCCACGTTAGACTTAGCAAGCAACATACATAAAATGGTGCTCAGCCAACTAGCAGGTAGTGACCACCGACCGATCCTGATTTCTGTTCTAAATATGAGAGGCCTTCATTCGATGCCGCCCCCTCGTTGGAATTACAAGAAAGCTGACTGGAACAGTTTTGCTAACCTTGCTGATGTATACTCGATAAATGTAAACGGCAAATCAAGTCAGGTTTCTAAATCAGTAAAAGAGTTTACAGAAGCTATATTAAAAGCAGCCAAAGAAACCATACCTCGGGGTTCAAGGAGAGATTACATCCCATTTTGGTCCCAACAAATTCAAGACCTCCACCAAACTTTCAGAAGCAAGAGATAGAGTAGAAAGCAACCCAACGGTAGAAAACAACATTGCTTACAAAGCAGCAGAAGCTAAGCTAAAAAAAGAAACACTTCAAGCAACTAGGAAGAGCTGGCAAGACAAAACCAAGAGCCTAAGTTTTGAAAAAGATGGGTCCAAACTCTGGAAACTAGTCAAGTGTCTAAATGGAGAAGCCCAACAAGCCAATCCAATAGTAATAAATGAGGGCAATGAGATCAGATCTGGAAACGATGCTGCAAATATAATTTTAAATCAGTTTAAATCTGTTAGTGATATTAATATAGAAAAGTCCAGAGAAGATGAGGTAGTACAAAGAATAAAAGAACTCGAGGAGGCCAGCAAGAGTAAACCAGCAGAGAGCATCATGACAGATAAATTCTCAATGAGTGAACTTAACACAGGACTTAACCAGCTGAAATCCAACCAAGCCCCTGGCCCCGATAAAATCACGAATTATATGTTACTACACATGGGTCTAAGTGCCAAAAAGAAATTATTAAACATCTTTAATGCCAGCTGGATTTTTAGTATAGCCTGGAGGAAGTCTGAAATCTTCGTAATCCTGAAACAAGGAAAGCCGAAGAACAACGCAGACAGCTACAGACCCATCAGCCTCACTAGCTGTCTGTGCAAACTATTTGAAAGATTATTGAACAACCGACTGACCTGGTTCCTAGAGAAAAACGTCAAACTAATGGAGGAACAGGCAGGTTTTCGACGTTGTAGATCAACAGAAGACCAAATTACATTTATTGCTCAACACATTGAAGATGCATTTCAGGAAAAAAAGCACACTATTGTAGTTTGGGTGGATATGGAAAAGGCCTTCGACAAAGTGTGGAAAAATGGGCTGAAACAAAAGCTACTTGAAAGTGCAATATCCCATCACATGCTTGGGTGGATCGTAAAATATCTTGAAAATCGATCTGCAAGAGTCAAGATACAGGGTTCAAGGAGCAGATCAGTCTCAATGACACATGGAGTTCCACAAGGCGGAGTTCTGTCCCCAATTCTTTTCCTAGTTTACATTAACGACATAAAATCAACCCTCTGTAATGGAGTTCAAGCCGTTATGTATGCCGATGATCTGGCGCTACTGAGTTCAGAGGAGGACACTGAAAAAGCACAGACAAGGCTTCAAGAATCCCTCGGAACTCTAGAGAGGTGGTCCAATAGCTGGTACATGTCTGTAAATGGGGCCAAAACCACACACACCATTTTCAGTCTCTCTACCAAACCGCAGAAAGTTTCACTTAGATATGGCAGCCAGGCACTGATACATGATGACTCACCGTCATATTTAGGAGTAACCTTTGACTCAAGACTCACATGGAGAAAACAGATAGAAAAGACACAGAGCAAGGGACTCAAGAGAACACAACTGATGAGGAAGTTAGCTGGAACAGACTGGGGGGCAAACCTCAATGTCCTTAAGAGGACCTATACAGGCTATGTGAGGCCAACACTAGAATATGGAATAGCTGCTTGGGGCACAGCAGCTAAATCAAATTTTCAGAAAGTCTCAAAGATCCAAAATCATGCTCTCCGTATTATGACAGGGGCAATGCGCTCCACGCCCATATCAGATATGGAAACAATTACTGGTCTCCATAATCTGGAAGATAGGAGAGACACAAAGATCCTCACCCAGCTCTCCAAATACCACCACTTTCAAGAACAACCCATGTACAGCCGACTACAGAAACCCCAGAAGGCTAGACTAAAGAGAACTTGCTTTATTAAGAACGCAAATGCCAAGCTCGCTGTCCTTAAACTCCCTCCCATAATACCAAATGTTCAACTTAAACCTTACAACGACTGCCCCGCTTGGCTTAGGGATAGCCTACCAACAGTCAGAACCACTGTAACAGGGGTCTCCTCCAAATCATCAATGAGCAGCACTGATATGAAATCAACTACAGAAGGAGAGATCAATAGACTTTACCCACACCAGAGTTGGATTCGAGTGTATACAGATGGTTCAGCCAAGAGAGCAGTAAGAGACGGAGGAGGAGGAATATACATAGAATGCCCAAATGGTTTAAAAATCAACCAGGCTGTATCAACAGGTTCATATTCCTCCAATTACAGAGCAGAGGCAGAAGCACTTCTAGCAGCATGTTCTTTCCTGAATGGACAACAGCACAGCAAATATAGCAGAGTGGTCTTTCTGACTGATGCTATGTCAGTTCTACAAGCAATTGTTAACACAAAAGACACTCAGTTTGTAGACTTGACGCAACAGCTGATTTACTTAGGCTCTTCAGTAGAACAATCTGTACTGCAGTGGATTCCAGGTCACTGTGGCTTGGAAGGCAATGAAATAGCGGACAGATTGGCCAGAAGCGGCAGTGACATGGTACAACCAAATAGCGACTTAACCCACCAAGAGATGAAAACACTAATACAATCTAGTATCCAAGAAAGGTGGCTGGATACCCACACCAGATTTTCTCCCCAAGACTCACTTCATCGCCTCTCTAGAGAGGGACAGTCTATAATATTCAGACTAAGGACAGGGCACAACAGACTTCGTCAACATGTTCAAATTTTTCGGTGTAGGAAATACGGAGACGTGTCCCTGCAGCGTGGCACCCGAAAATGCTGAGCATGTGCTCCAACACTGTCAACTGTATGCTGACAACAGAGACGCAATCTGGCCTGTTCCAACCACAATGAAGACAAAACTGTATGGTACACAAGAGGATATGGATTGCACGATAGCTTTCATAAAGGCTATCGGCCTCCTGATATAAGTTTTCTGACAGAAGGATCGAAGAAGAAGAAGAAGAAGTTTTAATCTTCTTGTTTGTTTAATTTTTTCTAATGTTATGCTGGCAGCACAAGATGCCTCATCTGTGTTATGAGTTTGCTCTCACTGGTTTCGGTAAGGGTCCATCTACGACACTGGTAGCATTAAGATACTTTTTATATACTGTGATCCCCCGTGTGGGTTAAAGCAATGAATAGGTATGCTGTAATCTAGAATCAACATCTTTAAGAATTTTTGAGAAGATTGATGGGAAACAGGCTCAATTATTTTGGTAGCCGCCATGGTGTAGCGGCTCCGAAAGTTATATGTTTTCAAGTGACCTTGTCTCTCAGATCAGCCTAGCCTTGAATAGGTACTAGGTATAGTCGACTGGCATGACCTTGGCCACATCACCCACTACGTGTCGACGGTCTATAAAATACAGGTCTGGTCCTATCTGTTAAAAGTAAACTAAGGCCTCGAAAAGTGTGCTTAACCTTTATTCAATTTATACAACAATTCTGAGGATCCTAAAACTAGATTTTGCCCTTGCTGAACTGTTAGTCTACTCTTTTTTCGATTTTCAACTGCCAAGGGGTTTTTATGTGCATCTGATCTTATTTCCCAGAGACCAGGGGAAATTACCACGTGAAAAATCCCAAGCCTTCACAGGAGTTTAAACCTGGGACCTTCAGCACTTAGGAAGGATGCCATACCCCGAGACCACTCACCCCCCCCCCCCAGTAAATTATCATCAATTACAAAATAATGAACAAACAACAAACTTTTTTTCAGAGAGCTTGAGAATGAGACACGGGGACCTATGTAACATTCTAACCCTTAATTAGAATGAAGTGAGACTTTTTCAATAACAATTGACGTGTTATCTCATTTCTGCAGTGCGATGTGATGGCGGAAACAAATGCTGTGGTGGCCAGAATAATGTACCGTGTCGAGAGAAATAAAAAGCTGAGAAAATACAGGGAGACTGGATCCTGGGATGGAGACGATGAAATCACAGATGAAGATTATTGTGTAATGCTCCTTTGGCAGGAGGAAGAAAAACAAGAACGCAAAAGTAAGTGGTTTGTTTTCCAGTTTTTTTTTTTCTTTTTCATGAAATATCCTGCTGCCTATTTGACGCTTGGTCATCCTAGGAGACCAAGACTTTTGCCTATTGACACTGAACATCATTTATGTAAATGATCAAATCCTCTGAGCGCGCATTATCTTGAATTAATTGCTGAATTTGTATCTCCGTGGCAATTGCTGGGCAAGTCTTTGCATTCCCAGGCTCAGTGTGATTATGACCCTACACAAGTCTGGCTGTTCAGGTGGCACTTTGACCCACTCCTCTCCTTGCCTAATATTCTCAAGGATGCGAACCTGTCTTGATGTCTTCTGCCTTAGCCATCCATGACTTCCCTTTTATCAGCCGCTGACCCTTAACTGCACCCAGAGCTTCATGCAGAGGGTGGTCTGCGTCTGCAGCTTCCCTGAGATATGACTTCATTCGCAGCACCTTGTGCCTAGCTGCAACAGTCGGCAAACCAAGAATCAAGGCCGAAAGGTAGCGATATCCATAATACCGAGCCTAGGGATAACAAATCGTAGCTTTTGGATACTAAAACAAACAAACACAACACTGGGGTGTCTTTGGTGCAACCCAGAATGACCCGCAAAGCTGTGTTCTGTAAGCACTCTAGTTTGTCCATCTGACTCTTTGAGACAGTAAGCAGTCCCAGGCATTAATCAACCACTGACAGGATCAGGTGCTGATATAGTGTAAAAGGTATTCAAATTCAAATTCTCTTTCTTTGACCACTTTCAGCTAGGTCCGTTCACATTTCTGCTCACTTTCCTTTCAGCTATATTTGTGGTGACGTTTTCTGGTCGCGATCTTATTTGATTCTGGATTGTGTTTAATGTTGTCACTTTCTGTTTGTTGTGGTTTCCGCTCTTGCTGTTGTTTTTGTAATCTGGCTGGCCCTGTGCTGCGCTCAAGATGATTGGATGTTGGATCGATTTATTGTCGTATTCCTTGGCTGTTTGTTGTTTCCGGTGAAAGTAGATTGCCTATCCTAATAAGGACCGGCGGTCGATTGACTTGGGCAGGTACTGATGGCTATACTGCTGAGGTCTGGTATTATATTATTGGGTATTTAAAGCTTACCTCTTTATCTAGAGGCCGTTCCACAATCCTCCATTGGTGGACTCGCCGGGTTGGGAATAACCGCCCTAGCGTACCCATTTTTTCCTTCAAATTTTAAACTGCCAAGGGATTTTTTAATGTGCATGCATAGCCCAAGTCTGTGAATTCTTAGCTCTTTAACCCTTTTATTATATGTAAATTCATTATACAATGTTGTTAAAAAAAAGTAACAAGTAAAGGACCCTTGTCATACAAGTAGTTCATTAGGTATATGATGCTAGACTTATTTTTGCATAGACCAGTCAAGTCAACACTGGATGGGTGATATTCAGTAACTTTCACCTTTATCCTCTTAATGCTTCAGTCTGTTCTTAAATAGAACAATTCATATTACAAGCAGATGCTATGATATTTTTCTGCAACAAGGCAAAACAATTTGTTTCTATTGATATCATTTTTGTTCTGTCAATTCAGGATTGGTTACAGTTTTATGTGCACTTTTAAAGAAAAACTGGTGTGCAGTTTGAAAATATACTTTGTGAACTGCAAAATGCTAACACTGCCCTGACAACTATATATTATTGGAATTCCGTATTTTTCATTACAGAACGCGCACAACGTGTGGCATTGATGCACAGAATAGCAGATGATATGGAAAAGTGGTAAGCATACATTCTAATAATACTGTACCATATATGAAATTAAAACAAGTTATGACCAAAGCAGGAACAGTACAACCAGCCAAGCTATGCATGGATAAACTAACTCTGGGAGGGCATTTACTGACTGGAATGGTGTTGTTTTCTAATATAAAGATTTTATTGTTTAGTGTACGGAGTGGAAAATCTCAACCCGCCAGCACAATCTCTGGCATGTACAGGTATAGGTAGACGTATTAGGGATCAGATTCTTCACTAAGGGTTTGTGTAAAATCTTTGTGATTTTGGTAATAAAGTTATTTAAACAACGTGGACACACACAATACATCGCACAATTTGTTGTCTGGCATGTCTTGTTAGATATAGTTGTGGGATGCAATTTTTTGTTGTTTAGAAGCTTCTGCTGGGGGCCCTAAGTTTAGCCGGGGCATAGACATGGCTGAAATGGGTTTCTGGGACCTCTCTGCGGGTGATCTTCATCCGAACAGTTAGTGGGGGGGGGTGGGGGGGGGGGTCAGGGTTAGCCTAGGGGTGACATATGTGCTAGGATGTCAATACTGACATGTAACAAGTTGTAAGCATGTTGTAACAATTTACGTAGGTGAATTTTCTCTCCTTGTCATCTGTAATGTGTGTTGTGAAAATTCTATTTTGTGAGAAGGTTAAAGGATGCTCAAAATTTTCACCTCAGAATACCTTAACTCGATCAGATGGGCCTTATGGCAGAAGAGCAGCACTGACACTCTCTACAGGGTGTGTTCATTATTTTCATTCCAGGGCCCCGGCGCCGTTAAGACCCAGAGGATCCTCCTAGAGGTGTTTGTGGAAAGTAGACATGGCCGAGCCAAGGAACCAGAACGGCAGCTATACACTGGTCCACTCAGTTAGTTAGGACCGGCTCTAGAACGAAAGTGACATGTCAAAATTGTGAAATTTTGTTACATTAAACTTTATTGTTTTAAACCTGATGTATTGTGAGTTTAATTTTACACATACGGTTTTGTGTGTGTGTGTGTGTCTATGACAGCATTCATTTATTAAATATACTGAAATGTATGCACAGCAGAACTAGTCAGCTTAATGAAGGCACTAGAGATGGTAATAAATAAACCTCCAACAAAACTCACCATACTGACAATTTTTCTGTCCTCGTGCAAACGTTCAAAACTCGTAAAATAAGCAGCAGACCAGATATAAAAGAACAGATTCTAAAATGCCAAGTCATTATTGCATGGGTACCAGCTTACAGAGGTGTAATAGGCAACTAGAAAGCTGACCAAGTAGCAAAAACAAAAAGAGCTAAATGTGATGCTGTATCAGAAAACTGAAAGGAAAAGCATAATCAAAAGACACATCTAAAAGGCGTGGAAACTCTAATGGCAGATAAGCACTAATGGCAGAGATTCAGCGAATCTGGCCTTTAGAAAAAAAGCCACACGATAGATTATTGAAAACCTCGCAATGTGTGGTATGGTATTCTTGGCTGCACTATGGAAAACTGCTGGTCAGTGCGACAATACATCTTGACTTTTTCACAGTAAACAACAGTTTATGTCAAGGTGGAATCAAACCAGCGACACATACTTCACGATGAACTATTCAAGCCAAAATTGGGCAGACTTAAAATGGACAAATCTTAAATGGATCGTGCTGGGGATCATATCCAGCAGATTTGTCGCTTTCCAGAAATTAATCTAGGACATGAATGAGTACATCTGCCCACTGCTCTAAACACCAGTACCACTATCTGTATACACACATGCGTGCAAAACTGAGCTTCTTCTTTTGTCGTCTCACTGATACTAGACTGTAACCCAGTGTCGTGGTTTTGTCGTCTCACTGATACTAGACTGTAGCCCAGTGTCGTGGTTTTGTCGTCTCACTGATACTAGACTGTAGCCCAGTGTCGTGGTTTTGACGTCTCACTGATACTAGACTGTAGCCCAGCGTCGTGGTTTTCTGTATCTGTCTTGTGCTTCTCGGGTGGCTTGAGTGATGGACTTGTTGATCTTTTTTGCAGGTTTCAGTTACACCATTTATCCACGTTTTTTCTTGGTCTTCCTCCTTGATGTTCTACTGTAAAAGGTCTCATAAGCAGTCTCATCTGGCTGCATTCACACTAGATGGCCTTTTCATTCTTTGTTTTTTGTCAGTATAATCCATACATGGTCTTATTTCAGCACTCTCAATAATGCTGGTATTCGTAACGCTGTCTCTTCTTGTGTTGTTAGTGATCTCGAGGATAGAACGCATTTAACATGTAGTTATTTTCTGTTCTAGTGCCCTATTTATTGTCCATGTTTGGCACTGATCCCATGAAGTAGGGATTGATTTGATTCAAGAACTGACATCACAGCACTCGTGGCGTTTTCATAAGTGCTCCGTCCCCATCTTCAGCAACCAGTGAAGAGTTTCGATACTGATGGGGCCAGTAACATTCTGATTAAACGTCTGTCTTGCCTTTCCTCTGAGCCTCGAACATCTTCCAGAACCTCTCGTCACTCCAAACTGCATCAATCTCACCAGACTGTGGTGATTAATCTGCTCCTCCGAACTGTACAAGCTCTTCCACAAGGCACTAACCCCGTCTGCCTTATGCATCAGTATTCCACAAAGCTGTGAAGAGCCAACCAGTCTGTCCACCTGTTCAGTTCCCAAACACACCGGCATGTCCTTGTGGGAAAAAAAACCCAGACAATACTCCTCACCCGTGTCCTCCGCAGCGAGGCATGCCACTCTGCACGAAGCATACCTGTCCTGATCTTCTTCAGCATGCTTTCTGAGTCAGTTATAATCACGATGTCTCTAGCCTATGTATACTTAGTATAAAAAAAAATATACATAGGAAGTAGGCATAAAGATGCTATCAATCATTTGCTGTAAGGGAGACATTTGGGTTCTCTTTGCAATTGCAATGCGGCCAGGGGACTCAACTCCGGCGTACTCCCCCAATATGTGGCCGTAATTGCAAGGAGAGCAGACATTTGGGTGTCTAAGCGGTTGACTGAACATACTCACGAAAATCTACATCATAACAGGTATTTAAGGAGAGCTGGTATAGGTCCCGGAAACGGGCTTGTGTCCCTTGATCCATCTTCGTTATCTTTAAGGTCTAAAGGTCCAAGTTTCCACCACCCCAATTTTTCGCCGGGGTGGCTGTGAAGGTGTAGTGGGGACCGGGTAATCTCATCTAACCCACCCCTTTTTGGCAAGAAGAGAGCCCACCCCTTCCCCCAAGATGTTTGCCTAGAAAGTGAGGGGGTGTGGGTACTAGCTCCCCAAAAAATTGATTTAAAAAACAAAACATTGTCTACTCAGCATTGAGCGGTTGGCCCAACGGTTGGAACCCTGGGCTCTCAAACAGGTGAACCATGTACGAATTCTCGGTAAGGCTGGGAGTATTTCTTTTTCTGTCAGGGGCAAAAAAAAATCCCTACCTGCACAGTAAACTACTGGACGTAAATTTGCCTAGAAAAACCACAACAACCAAACTATGCTGGGGTGGGTTCTGCAACGTCCTGTAAAAGATAAGCAACTAACTTAACATGCACTTTTGAAGACAATTCCTGTACATAGTTAAAGGAGCTCCTTAGAATCTTTACATAATTATCGGGGTTCCCTCAGCCCCCCCCCCCCCCTTAAAAATTGGGGGCGCAAAGATTGCTTTCGTCTTTGTCACAAACTGTGTGGTAAAGTTCGCACTCATGTATGTGATTTAGATTTCAAGAACGTAAATATTACATATAATAATTGTCAGTCATGCTCGAATGAATTTGACTAAAGATAAAAAAGACGATAAAATGTGTCCATGGTAGGCAAATATAGATTGTTTTGAGTCTACACATTCAGAGTGACTTTCGCTTTCTTACAAAAACTATATTGGATAGTTTGCTAAGTAACCAAAAATTCCTGCGAAATGAGATGCCTGAGAAAGGCCGCCAACTCACACATCCGAGACCAAGTTAGAAATTATACTGTCAGACAGACTGCAGGAACAATACCATGCAGCTAATTCGTTGAGAAATATAAGATCAGATGGTTTGGTCAATTAGCAGGGATGCAGCCAGAACTACCAACGCAGGTGCTACACATAATAGGATCCGAAGTGAAAGCAAGAGGCCGCCCTAGGTGAATATGGATTTATGACATTAAAGAGCTTCTACATAGACACGGAATGACAATAGTCAATGCTGCTCATAAAGCATCGGATCGCAAACTGTTCCTCCCCACAACGCTTAACAGCAAAAGTGGAAATTATGATGAGTTTGCTAAGTAACTATATAGAAATCAACAGAAGCCACGTCCGTACATGTGCAGTATTCCGGATGCAACCGTTGAAGTCGAATTTCAACATCCGTTAGTTAGTTGGTAAATAGAGTGATTAGGATATTTTCTACTGGTGTGCCAGTGTACTGGGATACAAGCATGCAGATAGACTGGCTGGTTTTGCACCATTTAGTGGTGAATTAGTGTACGATAAGCTAGATCTTGTAATGGCCATTTGGGAACGAATGAACAGTGCGAAGGCACAAATAGATCATTAAGGTTTAAAGAGAATGGCGCTACGGGAAGTTACCAAGGGATCTGGCCTACGCTCAACACTCGGTAGAGTCGCATGTACAATCATACAGTTACTTGTGCTATCGGAATTGCAACTCCTCGCCTGTTGCTGCAGATGGGGACGGAGCGTTTATGGTAGTGTCCCGAGTGCTGTGATGTAATTCAACATTCGAATTACTTATTTGCTGGTGACTAGGCCTTAATAGCGATTGCATTAAAAAAAAAAATCAATAGAAGCATCAACACTGACAAGACATCATTATTATCAATAGGAACAAAGAAGCGTACACAAATTATTGCAGTCGAGTGCAAAGGCATTAAACAAACATCTGAGTTTAAATATCTGGGTATAACTTTCACCAAACATGGCAAAATGGATGAAGAAATTAACTTGAGATGCAGTAAAGCGCATGAGATGCAGTAAAATATCCTCACATACAATTCTAATTACACACAAAGACAGCAGATATAATAGTCCGCCCATTTAGAGAGAATGCGTTGCGACGCTATTCCATACATGGCATACACCAAAAGAGGAGATGGCCGCAGAGCGCAATGTAGGCCAAGAACAATATGGAAAGACTCTACAACTGCACGATGGTGGTCAAAGGAGGTAGAAGCAGAATCTGATATCCCCCTCGATATCAGCGATACAAAAGGAAGCGAAGAAAACAATAGCGACTTTCTCTTTCTTAAAACTGTATCCGACAGTTTGCTAAAAAAATCAGTACAAGCCATTGCTTGCTCATGCGCAGTATTCAGGACGCACCCTTTAAAGTCGATTTTAACATCCGTTGCAAACGATACGTATTCGTTTTCCGGTACACGCTGCTGTAAAGTTTATATCGAAATCAAGTACTTGGACTCATTTCGTAGATATCTGTCTGTGAAAAAAACAAGTGCCTGCGGTTTTGAGTTGTGTTAGCATTTAGAAATACAGAGAATTTAGCAGAAGGTAAGTGAATTTATTTCAATTAAAAATGTTAATGTTTAGCAGTGATAACGCATGTTAAAATGATCCGTAAATTTCAGATAAAAATAAATGTTTCAACTACGCGAATTATCACGTTTCATGTCTTTTAGTCTACTATACCAGATACCTTACCTAGCGTTTATTATTATTATTGTTATTAAATTTAATAACTTGCTATCGGAACTGTTAAAGTTGAAATTTAATAATTTAAATCTCCATATATGTATTATTATCTCATGGCTTTCCCTTATTAATTGAAACAACTAAATTTAAAGGATATT